TTGAGATATGGCTGCCAAAAAAAACACTCTACTGTGAAGGTATGTGGTCACAAGATCCAACCTGAAAGATCACCAATAAGCAAAGATGAATGTTGTGATAGGATCATGTGTACTTGATCATTTCTTGCATTAGAAAGGGTGCTGTTTGGCAGGTGACTCTTAAACCTCACATATCCGAATGTCCTTAGACGGACCAACAAGATGAGCATTCAAACCTGTTCCTGGTGGCTCCTGCATTACTGTAAAACAAGCTTTACTGAAAAATATAGCAACAAACGGTCACTAGCATGGCTTGATTACCTATCTCACGTCAGTTTCAGGTCTCTTGAAGTTGTTTTTATACAATAGTGAAATGAATTCAACCACATGACTGCCTGGAAGGTAGAAAATCAAGCTTTGGAAACTTATTTTTAATAAAATTTACATTATGTACATGATCTGTTGGATGAAACTCCAGTATTGTGTTTAGAATGCTTTGACAATGACAGTCAGTCAGTGCACACTCATGACACACACACGCTACCTTAAAGCAATTTCTCTCTCTTGCTGTCACACCAAAATATACTTTGTATGAGCACAGACACCCGCAGTAACACTCTGGCATCTCCTCTTTCTTCTAATACAATCCACATTTATCAAGTGCTTTGCACTGCTGGCCTCAACAGTTATAACTATTATGCAAATGGTTCAAATAGGCAGAGAAAGCTCTGCAAAGGCAGCTCCAGCCCACTCCACTCAGGGCTCTCCGCCAGGCTGAGATCAAAGCAGCCCAAGCTGCTCATATTTATATTCATGAGGTACTATTTCTCCCAATGTAAAACTTTCCACTAAAGCATCCGGCTACCTAATAAGCCAATATAACACAGGCTGAGCTCAGGCTGAGGAAAGAAACCTGATAATCAATGATGATGAATAAATAAAATGTGACACACAAATGTGGGTACTGCTCTGGCGCCGTCCGACCAGTAAGTCCTACTGTCTTACTGTGTGTAAGACATGATGCATATGGGTCAGTGCAGTTCATGCTGAGTGTGTATGTGTCTGACACCATATGAATAAATCATGAGTGGGCCAAACCTAATGGCCACTGGCCAAGGTCTGACACAGTATTTTTAGATATGGTATTTTACTCAGTTTATGTCTTGTATCTGCCAAAGACATGAGGGGCCAATCGATGCTTGACGGGAAGCTGGGTTTGAAGTGATGGCGGGTGAGGCAAAGCAATTTCTTATGGGTAGACAGGAGGGTAAAAATCCTTTTAGGCTGGAACCACAATCTTGCAGGACTGAAGATATCTTACATCCAGTTGTTTTCCATAATTGCCTTTTAGTTTATGGGCCCAAGTAAACCAGGAGACACTGCAAGATTTACAGCCCAGCCTGACTAACCAAGGGGCCTTGAAATGCAACACACCTCCTTAAATCACACACACACACACACACACACACACACACACACACACACACACACACACACACACACACACACACACACACACACACACACACACACACAGCGGTGCTTTCTACCAGTTACGGTCTAATTGAAAAGTGTGCTGTTCTTGATTTATGCTTCTTTCAAAGCAGAGACGAGGTCTTTCAAAAGCTGCTAACTTTGATCAAACATTAAAATGTTTTAACATCAGCGTATAAAAGAACTGCGTAGGTAACAGATGAGCCTCTCTGTCCTTCTGATGCTGTGCACTTTTATCTGCATCTGCTGCGCAAGTTTCTGGTGTGTAATGTTTCAAACTGGAACTCTAAAGTAAAATTATACATGAACGAAAACCTTTCACAGATTTACTGACTATATCTGATCAGCACACCTTGTCAGCCTAATGAATGTAGCTGAGCATCAGTATAATAACCTTGTGGCACTATAGAGTTTATCAAACTGAAAAAGGTATCAATATTAATAATGTTTGTAATTGTTCAGTTTGAAGGAAATATGCTTATCTAGCAATATAAGTGTTTTCATGTATAATTTCTTCAGATTAGATTATTAAACCTGAGAATGGCATCTCTCCCTTCTGTGCCCATTCAGCATGTCTTATAGGTCATGAAAGAAAATCAACATTATGTTTGTCAATATTATACACTCCTAGTGATCTTTAGCAAAGGAAAGGTGTGAGTCTCTTAAGGTTTGTACCAGGGCTTTACAGTGGTAAAGGTTTTTGGTTTGAGTTTTCTCAGGGTGATATCCCAAATCATCTAGAAAACCATACAACTGCCACTTTGATACAATCACAAAGAAAGCAAAAAATGCAGCCTTTAAGAAGGGTTTCAAGGACGCTCTCTACTAAAATATTGTAATCAGGTCTCCTGTGGGGAAAACAAAGCTTTCAATGAAATGGTTGAGTGTGGAGGGGGGACATTTCAAACCCTCAGAGAAACAGGTCAGCACTGGGACTGAGACAGAGGAGAGCAGGACAGGGAAGCCAAATTCCAAAGATGCTTTGCAGAACACAAGCTCGGGCTCGTCAGTTTTTGTTGCACAAAAGGCTCACTCCCACGGATGCTTGTGTGTGCGCGGGTCACTCGACACAGCCCCAAAAAAAGCATAACGCGCAGCCTGCAGCTCCAGATCCTCTGCCCTCTTCCCTCGGTGCTCTCTCTCCCCTGCTCCATGATCAAAGTTTGTTTACGTTTGTGGGGTAACTTTGCAGGTTACATCTAAAACTCCCACACAGCGCACACTCTGTTATATTATATAAGCTCTATCAAAGCTGTGCTCGCTAGGTTTCACAGCTGTTAGTTGTTAGTCTATAGAGCCATTACCAAATCAGCCACTAGCCTTATTTAATCTATACAGAGAACTGCAGTATTATATTTATCTCTACTCTGATTGCCTGACAGCCCTCCTTTGGACACCTTCTAACAACAAACAAAGCCATGATAAGATATTATGGTGGTTTGTTGCAGTGTCAGATATTTGACTTATCATGCTTACAGTAAAAAGAGTACAACAATACTTAGTCTACAGCTAGGCTAGTGCCTCATTGGGGCTGTACTCAGGCACAATGCTTTCAGCTAACGTCAGTATGCTAATAGGCTCACAATGTTTATCTGCTAAACTCCTGAAGTTTAGCAACTCCTGAAGTTTAGCAGATAATTTTTGCCACATTCACCACACTTTTAGTTTAGTGTGTTAGCATGCTGCATATGTGAATAAGTACTTAACAAAAATGTAAACTGAGGATGATGGGAATGTCCTTTATTAATGTACCAAAGGATAAACCAAAGAACTGCACAAAATGACCATGATGACTGCGGTAGATGAAAAGTGAGCGGATCATCAAGGTCATTAGGATTCATTGTTTGGGAACCATGACATAGGTGTTTATAAAATTTCACAGCAATGCAAGTCGGGCAATAATGGTGGGCAGACGGACCAACTAACCAGCAATGTTATCCATAAAGGTAGCATGGCTGAAAAAGGAACTTTGATTTTCCCAGAATTCATGAACCATTTCATGTTTGTGCTGGATTGGCGGTCATCCGGTAAAATCTTCCACTTCAAAGAATGAAATGTGTTTTACATGTCCAACAACAGCAACAACGGTTCAAATTTTTTGTTAGGAGTAACAAGTTGGAAATTAGCGTTTTGGCTAACAACCGCACATTTAAATATCAGAGAAGAAAAAAAGGTATCGATGTCCATGCTATTCAGCGATCTCTTAGAACTGTGGCACAAAGACACATCAGGAGTGAGTTCTTATCATGAAATATGGTGGCAAAATAAAACAAACACATCTTCCCTCTCAAAACATGTGGGTGTCCTACAGGACAATTGATAACATAAAAGTTTTATAACAGGGCGTGGTGTGCAGTGGTTAGCACTGGGTTCAAACCCCGGTTGCCCCAGCCTTTCTGTGCAGAGTTTACATGTTCTCCCCGTGTCTGCGTGGGTTCTCTCCCGGTGCTCTAGCTTCCTCCCGCCGTCCAAAGACATGCAGGTGTCTCTAAATGTGAGTGGTTGTCTGTCCTGCGATGAAGGTGTACCCCGCCTTTCACCCAATGTCAGCTGGGATAGGCTCCAGCCCCCCACGACCCTGTACACAGGATAAGCAGTTGACGATGGATGAAAGTTTTATAACAAATGCAACCAGTAAGTGCAACTTTTCAACATTTGGGATCAATTATCCCAAATATATTATATTCTGGATGACCTGAACTATGGGAAGCACACAATTAAAGTCATGTAAATTCAAGTATGACTTGATCTGATATTATGATGTTTCAACTCTCTAAATTTGTCAGCATCTGTGCCTTAGACCAACTAGGAAGGAACCATCCTACATGTGCAGCAAAGGAGCGCTCCACTCTGATTGACTATTACATGCTATCGTGTAATGTGGTGAGTGTGAGAGTGTCTCTTGCGGTGGGGAATTACTGCAGACGAGTGCTCGGCAGCAGCCTCTAATTGTTAGCAGGTTATTCATTATGGATGGGAGACAATCAGGCAGACAGACCTCGTTCCTCTCCACAGACCCCAGGGCCATTCAGAGGAGCCAAGACGTTGAACAGCAGGGTCATGAAATGTTCTTTCTTCTTGTGCGTCAAGGCAATTTGTGTGTCCTGTAGCATCACAAATCTGTCAAATCTAAGACACAAGCTACATTTCAGACATGTAAATTTGGTCAGATACTTCAAGCTATACTGCTTCGAGGTGATTCTTGTCTTCTGTTTTCTGAATGAGAGAGTAGACAGAAATTGCCAAAAAAGGTCAAAGTTAATTTCATGATACTGGAGATGAGGAGCAGTCTCTCTGTGAAACACGGGACATAAGTCACTGGCGGTTAGATGTGGTGGCGCTAAAGCTGAAGGCCCAGTGTTCAGCCTCACACTGTCTCCATTGATGACAAACACTGGAGTCTTTACAGAGGTCGACAGGTCATTTTTAGTCATGGCTGTAGATACAGGATGCTATTGAGCACACATGCAACTAAGAGCAGACACAGACGTTTTATTCTCCGAGTTCTGACAAGGGAGAACTGCTGGATTTTAGGAAACACTGGAGCAGCTTGTATACTATCCTGCACCATGGTGTACACTCTGGAGTCATTATCATGAACTCCAACTATTTTACTAGCAGTGTGTGATGCAATAATATGTTTCTTAAAGCTATATTTTACTGATCATCACAATTACGTGGACAAACAAAGATTTATGCCAAGATATGACTGAAACGTATAATATCTCTATACTATAAATAATTAGCCTGCCCAGTAAATTTACAGTATATTGGACTTACTGAAAGATAAATCCTTCCTCATCAAAATGTTGCCATGCCTGTCATCCATCTCATTATCTTATCTTGAACATCTATATTAAATGACATTTTAGTAATTTGAGATGGCTCCTTCTCCAAGTGGCTCTCTGTGCTAAGTACAGAGATGTAATTAATAATTTCCACAGCAGCCTCCATGATTACTGAAAGAAAAGTTAGGAGAAACTTAAAACTTGGAACAAGTTAGCGGGGGAATGGCTACTTTAGAGGATCTGCAATTGCAGCAGGTTTCATTCCGATAAGCCTTACAACTCTGTTTAGAAGTTACTGGCTGGCTCTGACCTGGTCCTGCTCCGCTAAATCAGTTGTCAAGACTTCCTCTGAGGCGGACCAGCTGAGGTGAGGTTCCTCCCTTTGCATCTGTTAGCCTATTGATGGAGGTCTGCACAGTGTGCCTTTGCCTTTACTGCCTTTGCTGACTTTACAGTATTGTATTTCTGCACTGAATTCAATTATTAGCTCAGACTACAGTAGCAATGTTGGGGTTATCTGGGGTGACTGGATGCACTGGTGTTTCATGGAACCTCATTGATCTGGATCTGACTGATGTTACATAAGGTTGCTTCAGTGTGAGACGATGGCACCCGAGGGAGTGTGTTCACAAGGCCACCTCTTGCCTCCAAATGTATTATGGGTTATTTATGGGAAAATGTATTCAACTACAACCCTGTTCTGATTCTGTTTTGTCTGTTTTGTTAAAATATCAGTCTTCAAAAAGGGATTGATTGCATAATCCCTAAAGTTGTTTAGATAAATGTCTGTGTTGATCCCTCTGTAAGTGTTACAAGTTCAGTCTCTATGTGTGTGTGTGTGTGTGTGTGTGTTAAAGAGAGATTAGTCCTAGCAGCATAATGGTACCTGACATCAGTGTTGTTTTAAGTGACATCCACTTGCCCTCCAAGTGGCCTAAATCCTTCAGAAAAAGAGAAATGTATTCCTTTAGAATACATTTGTAAAGACAAACAATATAAAGAGAAACTGGATGATGCATCTTTACACCACTGGAGCAATTTTCCAATATTGCAAGAATCTTATGTTATACTGTGCCTGGCATGATGAGAGTGCTACAAATAAAAATGTTCACTTGTTTTGAGACTATCAAAGTGATGAGATCCTTTCCTTATTATGTATATGCCCGATTCCATTAGCAACATCTGAGATATCACACTGGATAAACACATTTTCTGTCGATCAAGGAGGTAAACAACAGTAAAAACAGCACCATAGAAACATTACCTCATCTAACTGTGGAATTTGTGAGGAGGCAAACAACAGAATGGCAGGCTATTTATTTCATCTAATCTTGAATCCAGTTCAAATTCTCTGTTTGGTTTATGTTCACCTTGTTAGCCAGAAAAAAGCCCGTACAGTGTTTGCCAACTGCCGCTATCAGCAGAGCTATGTTCAACACAGAGCAGAAGTTCAGAGTGAAGAATGTAAAGGGAAAGACCGATGTGAGGAAACAAACTCACATTCCTTACATTTCTCACCAGGTAATTATTAATGTGCCTTCATATCACCCAGCACTGATACAGGTTTGTGGGTTATTTGAAAACCTTAAACAACAGTGTCTATTATCCAAAGCACCTTAGTTCCCATGAGAGCTAAGTTGGTAATATCAGACATTTAATGACTGATAATTCCACCACATAATTAGAGCGGGGGAGGCATACACTGTTAAATTGAGCTGATAAAGACAAAAGCACGGTAGCTAGCTTCTTATTAAATTCATTACAGCCAGGATAGAGGGGGACGGGAGCAGAGACTCTCTCTTTTCTCTCTGTGGCTTCTTTGTTTCCTGGAGTGGTTCATGTAGGAGTCACCGTTCTGTGATTACAGCGATAGAAATCGAGTGGCTCCCACATCGACCCACACCTGGACCAATTCCACTTTAACAGCCGCAGTGAACGTGCATGCATCTATCCACACATCCTGAATATCAGGCCACACACTCAGCACAAACACAAACAGGAAGATGTGTGGACTGCAGCTGAAGATGGGTTGGGATTCAGAGGAATATGCAGATAGATATGGACTGACACACTGTATGACTTCTTTAAATATTAATGTTTTCCAATTTAGACCTAAATAACGTGGTTAGATAAAAGGCTTTATTTGATCTTATCTGTACTCTAACACCAGAAGGGGAGCCGAGCAGACTGCGTGTCAGGTAGTAAACACGGATGCTGACGCACGCTGATGCCGAGTCAGAGGATCAGCGCTTTTTCCTCCTGTGGCGTTTCTCTGTAAATAAAGTGAGTGTCTGTTGTTCGTTAGTGCCAAGCAGCAGCACAGCGGGAACTACTGCAAATCAGCTTGTTCAGCCAACTCGGGTCACGACTTTACTGTAAAGAGTTAACAATGACAACAAAACAACACGGAAACCAGGAGTGAAACATCAACATGCGGAGAGTTTCACTTGGCAGTGACATTTTGCCTCAAGCTATGCAATTCTAAAAAACACAATCGGTAAGAACAAAGTCCGTACAATGAAATCTTGTTAACCAGTTTGGGTATAGCATTGAGCCATGAATGGTCCTCAGGGGGAATTCCTGGGACACAAATAGACCATCAAACCAGCAATCATTAAAAAAAAAAATGCAGAAAAACAACTCATGTTACGGAAAAAGGGTTTATTGAATAGATCAAGACAGCTCAGTGGAGCAGGTAATCCCATACATTGTTAAGCACCATGTGGCTCCATTTTTGGGATATTCAATAATTAACAGTTAATTAGCATATTTGTTCTGTGCTGGGAGTGAATGGGGGAGGCTGAGGCTGCTGCTCAGAGTGACGTCATTCACCCAGGAGAAAAGATTTAGTTAAAAAGTTAGCTAATTCTAATTCAACTCCACTGCAAACAAGCATGCCCTGTGGGGCTAAGTAATTAACAATCAAGCTGCTTTCCTCTCCTCTCCTCAGCTTAAGCTGTTCTTTGACAATGCAGCCTGAAACCACAGTGAGTTCAGAGCATGTTGAGCAACATGAATGTATGTATACACATACAGGTTAGACGAGTTCTTGCTTTTATCTGAAGCCCAGTATCACACATTAGACTCTGGAATTTAGGTTCTTTCAGTTTCAAAGGTTTTTATGAGCAAATAAAAACTGCGACCAAATTATTTGATGACATGAGGCCAACAGAGATAAAATGATAGGTAGGAAAAATGAAGTCGCTTGTTTACCTGTTTGTCCACCTGAAACTTCACTTCTCTGCTCCTGATTCCATGCTCACTCTATTTCTCTCTCTTACTGTTGGCTCGCTCTACTGATTATCATGCCACATGACTTCCTGTTTCTCAGTCTGCGGTGGCAGCTGGTAGGTGTGGATGGGAGGGAGCTGCCTGGACCTTACCGGAGACCTGCAGGCCACGACAGGATGAGTTTGCACTGATCTAAAGAGAAGATTAAGCTGATCTTAAGCTGTGCGTGAGAACGGTTTCACTACACACAGCAGCATTTACCTGTTTTACATAGGAAACCACTAAGTTGACCTCAGCAGCAGCTACAAGTCAGTCTGGACTCCCCTGGGAGAGCCTGGTACTTTCCTGCTCACACTCCACCCCCTGCTTTTTTCCTTCTCTTATCCGCCTCACCTGCTCATCTCTTTGTGCACTTTGAGCCCTCTCAGGGGGCCAGTGTGGTTGGACTTGTTCTCCCAGTTCCAGAAACAAAAGCCCCGCATGTGAACCAGTCATTCATATCACATTCGATCCAGACCTGCATCTACACACAAGATCCAACTTCACCGGACAAATACCAATAATGTAATGTGTCTTGTTTGCTCATGGAAGACAACAATGAGGGATCAGACTTGGGTTAAAGGGCAGCACGAACACAGAGAAAGGCGGATGAGGGTAGGAATAAATAAGAGAGTGATGAATAGAAAGATGAGGAAAAAGTGGAAAATGAGAGCATGTGTGGGTTGTCTCGGTGTGGACCATCTGGACAATAGTCTGAGTGTAAGTCTCCCTTCCTGAGGCTGGGTTTCTGGATGGGTTCTGTGCTGTATCAAGTTCCATAACTCAAACTGAAGACACTTGCATCTGAAGAGGGAGAAAAGAGAGGGCATTGTTCTCTGCTCCTTAACTAGGAGAGAGCGACTCCTTATTTCTTTCTTCGTCATGCGATGTAGGCCGCAGAGCTGAAGGGAGTGAAAGAGGTATCTACTGGCACCAATAGGTGGGCACACAGGAATCCCAGCTAATAAAGCACCTTGCCAACCAGAGATGCACTATGTAGAGATTGGCAAGCTATTAAAGGCATTCCAGAGCAAGAATGTGATGTTTTGTGGTGCCCTTTGGCTTGAACAGTGCAATTTGGAGAAAATCAGCTGAAAAAATGAAAGGAGAGGATAACCCCATCAAAGCTGGGCAGACCAGTCTAACACTTGAGCAGGTGCTACTGTACCCCTGTCATTACCTCTGGGCCCCACAGGCATATCCAGTCTCAGATTCCACAGATTCTCAATTGTAAGTCTCCCAACAAGAAAGCTCTGGGAATCTGGAGGAGGGGTGAAGGTGGTGCATGTGTGTGAATGGATGGAATAATGGCAGAAGGAGGAGCGAGGACAGGGTAGAGAGCGGATAGGAATGTGGAGATCCATAGATGGAAATACATGGCAGGAACAACAGAGAGAGGCTAGCCGCGGCCTGCTTACAGATACTGTACCTGTCTGACCAGTCCACTAGACGAGACGACAACCTGGGCTAGACTCATTTCCTCTGCATTAGCTCTCCTGGACAATAACATTACAGGAAGCAGCTATGGGAGGTACGCTGGATATCTGGCTCTAGAGAAATAACATTATCCTGGGTCAGACACCCACCTGAGCTCTGGCGTGTCTGTCAGTTTGGCATTAGTTCTTTTAGAAAAACATGCCATTTTGAAATTCTTTCAGTAAGCATTTAGAAGAAGCTAGCAGGACTATCCTATTTCACAGAGACAGGTTTCACATAAAATAAAATAAATAATTGGAGAAGAGTTCAGTTCTTAAAGGAACAGTTTGACCTTTTTGGAAATATGCTTATCTGTTTTCCTGCCAAGAGATGTGGTTCATGTCTGTACAGTAAATATAAAGCTAGAACAGCATACATTTAGCTTAGCTTAGCGCTAAGACTGTAAACTGTAGAAACAGCTAGCCTGTCTTTAGTCCTATCTACTAGCACCTCAAAGACTCACAAAATAACACGTTATACGTCATTTGAACCAATACCAAAAATGACAATTATTTTGTCTGGGCAGATTTTAGACACAGTCAGGCTAGCTGTTTCCACCTATTCCCAGGCTTTGTGCAAACCTATGCTAACCGATTGGTGGCTGTATATTCATACTTAATGAATAAATGCAAATAGAGTGGTATCGATCTTCTCATCTAAATCTTGGCAACAAAGTGAATGATGTGTATTTTCCAAAATGTCAAACTGTTTCTTTAAAAAAACAAATCAGACGGGTAAAACTGCAGGAGAATTACAGTGCCAGTGAGTCTTAACCATTGTCCCACTTTGGTACCTGTGTAACCTGACTGAGACATGCATAGGTCATGGTAGCTGAATGCAACCTTTAAATGCACCGTATTGATTTTATGTAAAAGAAGGATGTGACAGCGAACTGTAATGCGGTTGGAGAGAGCAGAGCTGTGGCTGCCTCGCCAACTGCTACTTGTTCACGCAGATATAAATAAACAACAATGCCCACTCGCAGAGGAGGGCTTCAACTCGTGGCCTTTTGTTCTGCAACGCTACAACTCTTCAGACTAAATAAAAGAGACAAGGGCCAAGTACTCTGCATGCACACAATTCATCCCTACACACACACACACACACACACACACACACACAGACACACAGACACACACACACACAGGGTAACCATTGCTGCTGATATCTATAGAAGGCAGGTGAGTGCGAGCGCTCCTCACGGGTAGATAAGCCCAATCATTAAAAACATAAGGAAGCTATAAGGCTGAGCTGAGGTGGGGGGACAATGGGCTACATTTGTTTACAAGACAATAGCCCCCGAATGAGATGCTGCCAGAGTTAGCAGCTATTTCCGTCTGCCGCCTGAGTTGGTGACATTTAGAGACAATGGTCACAGTATGGGGTCTGTCCAACCTCCTACACTCTCAGACCTTTCCCCTCTGAAGGTCAGAGGGTGCCGCTTATCCCATGCAGACAAAACTATTGTTCAGCAGTCAGGTGGCAAGTCAACCAACCACGCAGTCAGTAATAACCTGGGGAAATACTGGGCACAGTAGACTTTACTATGATTAAATATTAAGTATCTGACGGGCCTGGTTCATCTGGGAGCAGATAGAAATAAGCATGTGGGCCACCAAGCTAGCTCCTCAGTACACAAAATTCACCCTTACCTACACTTACATATCCTCAGTCTGTGATGTTCTCTGCTATCCGTGAGTTACTTTGTGAAAGGTTTTGTGGCTATACGTCAAACCTTCATCTAAAAATTAATACAGAAATCAAAAGAATGGCTACACAATTGCAATGATCATTCAATTAATGTTGTGGGAAGCAGGTGTTTGTAGAAGGTGGACAGAAGCTTTACATTGAAATTGTATGGAAAGAGGTCTGACATATTTGGATTAGACAAGGAAAGCAGAGAAAATGTACTCCTGTCTACATCAGACATCCAAGTTAGTTGCCAAAAAAACCTCCCCCTTTGCTTTGATGTCTGCACACTGTCATATATCATCAATGTGTGATGTTATCATCCCAGGTGTTATTTTGTGATCATTTTAGAAGAATTCTTTTTTCTGCCTTCTCTGCACCTTCTTAAGTCAGTGACACCCTGGTCAGTGGTATATTAAAAATAAACCACCAAATTTTTACAGTGTTTAGGGGACTATTTTTTTTACTACTTTTTTGGCCACTTGGGGGCAAGGGAACAAGCTGTAAACACACACTGACATAGCCAAGTTGTTATGGCTAACATGTTAGCAAACAGTTGCTTATTCACACATCCAGGAGATGCAGAGTAGTTTTTCTGGGCAGTGCCACCTGAGTCACTTTCCTTTTGGCTCTCGTTTGGTCTCCTTCAATATTGATTAGTGCAGCTTTAAAGTGTCTTTAGGACACGTTGTTTCCTTTTAATTTAATTTAAGTTGTAGTTTTATGATATTGTAGTTTTAAATCTGTCAAGAGGAAATGTCAGGAATGGCAACATTCTTTCAAAGACCAATCTTCAGCTATAAGGAAACACCTGCCACATGGAGATAATGATTAACTTGGTTGTGTTCTCTGTCTTGGCATGTAGAAAATATCTCAGTTCAAGTCCTGCAACTTGATCCAGCTGAATTTGTGTAAAATAAATCAATGTTTTACTGAGGCTAATGAAATCTGAGCTGCAGTCAAACTCACACAAGACTGTGAGTGATAACCACGTGTTGGTGTGGGCTTGTTAGTTAATGTGGTTAAACAACTGATCATCTAGTACAGAATTACATAGGAAATATAACAATGTAATAATAATAATAATAAACTTATATAGCACCTTTTCAAGACTTACAAGGAACTTTACTTGGTAAAATATGACAAACAGGAATCATGAACTTGTTAATAACAATAAGAACAACAGCACAATCAATAAAACAATAAAACACGGTAATACAACATAACAATAAAAACACATGTTGTGGGAAGGTAAGATAGAAGGATAACGGGAAGGCTAGACTATACTAGAAGAGCCTTAAATGAAGAGATGGACTTGTTGTTCCAGAGGAGGCCTGATGGCACAATATATTTTCTGTTCAGTTACTTACACAGACTAACACTTTCTTTTGATCCCACTGGCAATAAAGTCATGCAAAGTTTTTTCCATTTACTGTGATAGCTTTGAGCTAAACAGCCTTATATCCAACAGTGGCAGAATCTAGGCTGGCAGCCCGGCACGCCTGGCCAAGCCCCACAGTGATTTTCTTAACCCGGCCAGGCTTTAATCGCAGCGACAGACGGCCCAGAGAGCGTATCAGGCCAGCCACAGGCAGAGGGATGACCGAGGAGTGAAAGCTCTAAGTGTAAGAGCACGACACTTTCTCCTCAGAGCGATCAGGCTTGGCCTTGTCTACGAAGAGTCTATGAGATGAGTGCAGACAGGAGAGAGAGCACAGAGTAATAGGATAAGCCCAAGATTAGGAGCAAACAATGAGAAAATGGGGAGAAAGGGGAGGAAAATCTGCAGAGTGAAAGAAACTGAGTTAAGGAGGGGAGACAGGCCGAACCCAGCGAGTGGAAGTAGGGCTGATTAGTGTTTGATTAGCTGGCTGGTCTGAGGGGAAATCTATGTCAACCAACACAGTGGCATTACGACTGCGCTCTGCCTGCTGCACCATCTGCTAGACTGAAGTATGCATGACTGACCTGCTATGCACTTACATGCTATACAACAAAAAAAAGCCCAGCAGTATATTGTGCTGTCGTTCCCAGTGGTGACAGGAAATCGGAATGATTGGGCTCTGGCGGCTCTAGTTTTATATTTAAGGTTTACATAAGGACTAACATCATACTGTGGGAATGCGGAGGTGTAGAGTTGATTCATAATGACTGTTCTTGATGGAAAGGAGTTTGTATCCTCCTCTCTTTAGGTTAGGCAACACTAAGCAAATACTCAGCAGACGTCTGACCGTTCAGCAGAATATGTGTTTCATCAGCTGCCGGTGCTTTAAGGAGATGCATGTACTGTATGTATGCACACACACACACACACACAC